TACGAACATTTTTTGTCACCTCCCTTTTCCCAGCTTCTGAATAACCAAGTTTACAAAGTACAATGAATAGAATCTTTTCAAATTTTGCAATGACCTCTGCACAATGTCCCAAAACTAACCTTGGAGAACAGCCCAGTCAGCTTGATTGGTTTTCTCCTGCATGAAACCCCAATCCTTCAGATCAAATTCTCTTCAGCTTTATGTTACCTCAGAAGCTATCGTTCCTGACTCACAAACCTGAGGTTTTTTTGGTTTTTGGTTTTTTTTTTGAGACGGAGTCTCGCTCTGTCGCCCAGGCTGGAGTACAGTGGCCGGATCTCGGCTCACTGCAAGCTCCGCCTCCTAGGTTTACGCCATTCTCCTGCCTCAGCCTCCGGAGTAGCTGGGACTACAGGCGCCCGCCACCTCGCCCGGCTAATTTTTTGTATTTTTTAGTAGAGACAGGGTTTCACCGTGTTAGCCAGGATGGAGCTTTTTTTTTGAGACAGTTTTGCTCTTGTTGCCCAGGCTGGAGTGCAATGGCGTGATCTTGGCTCACTGCATCCTCTGCCTCCCGGGTTCAAGTGATTCTCCTGCCTCAGTCTCCTGAGTAGCTGGGATTACAGGTATGCGCCACCATGCCCAGCTAATTTTGTATTTTTAGTAGAGATGGGGTTTCTCCATGTTGGTCAAGCTGGTCTCGAACTCCCGACCTCAGGTGATCTGCCTACCTTGGCCTCCCAAAGTGCTGGGATTACGACCCATGCCCAGCCTCAAACCTGAGCTTTAAACACACTTTCTTCTGGAGAAGGGTGAAAAAAAATCACAGAGTATCTGAAGGATGGAGACAAGATTTTCAAATGGCTATCATAATTCAGGTTAATTTTTCAAACAAACTAAAAATCAAGAAGAAACTATAGGGATATATGTTTGTGACAAACTGTTAGACCAAACTAAAATCATTAATTGTTATAATCTAAAAATAAAAATAGCTCCATCTTCAAATAAACAGAAAAAAACAGTTCACTTAAAATGAAAATTCTGCTCACCTCCTAACTGTGGAGCCCTGGTTTTAATAGCTGTCAAACTCCCTCGTAGTCTGTGGTTTACTCCCTATAACAAAAAAAAAGAAGCAACAAAAAATATATTAGAAGTACATTTCTTTTTTTTTTTTTTTTTTTTTTTTTTGAGACGGAGTCTCACTCTGTCCCCCTTGCTGGAGTGCAGTGGCCGGATCTCAGCTCACTGCAAGCTCCGCCTCCCGGGTTCAGGCCATTCTCCTGCCTCAGCCTCCTGAGTAGCTGGGACTACAGGCGCCCGCCACCTCGCCCGGCTAGTTTTTTTGTATTTTTTAGTAGAGACGGGGTTTCACTGTGTTAGCCAGGATGGTCTCGATCTCCTGACCTCGTGATCCACCCGTCTCGGCCTCCCAAAGTGCTGGGATTACAGGCTTGAGCCACCGCGCCCGGCCTAGAAGTACATTTCTAAGCCACTGATGGGACCACCAGTAATATCAAACCCACACTTCAAGTGATGATAAAATAAGACCATTCACCCACTTACCACTGGAGAATTGCGAAAACCTTTGATTGCCTGAAAGATACCACCACCAATGGTACCCATCGTAAAGGCCCCACCACAGTCATCCACAATTCGCCATGGGCTAAGAACAGAGGGGGAAAAAAAAGACCACATTTCTCATTCACAAACCATAAAATCTTTGCTAATACAGTAAGGATTATAATGGAACAGATTATATTGCAGGACCCACTGCAACCAATAAATATTTGGCCTATAAAATGACTTGAGGAAGTGCTATGACCAAACAGGGCAGTCAAAAAATCAAAGCAGTTTTGACTACAAAGCTAACCAGGTAACTGATTATATTGTTTCAGGACATACGTACTGAATGTTAAGGGGTTACCTAACGATTTACTAAATGAAAACCCAGTATTTTTCTAAGAATTTTCTTTTTTTTTTTTGAGATGGAGTCTCACTCTATCACCCAGGCTGCAGTGCAATAGCGCGATCTTGGCTCACTGAAACCTGTCTCCCGGGTTCAAGCGATTCTCCTGCCTCAGCCTCCCGAGTAGCTGGGACTACAGGTGTGCGCCACGACGCCCGGCAAATAATTGTATTTTTAGTACAGACGGGGTTTCACCATATAGGCCAGGCTGGTCTCAAACTCCTGACCTCGTGATCCACCTCGGCCTTCCAAAGTGCTGGGATTACAGGTGTAATCCACCACGCCTGGCCTTATTTTTCTAAGATCTCTAACTCAACATAGTTAAATATTTTAATCCTCTGCTAACCTGTGTCATTATACTACATCAAACAGCTATTTACAGTGTGCTGAGTCCTACATATCTGAGCACAATCCAGAATGGAGGATAACTGCTTTGAAGAAGATAAGTTTGAAGAGCCAGGAGACCCTAAAACTTACATTTTGTATGCCATTTAGGAGAGAAGGGAACACGAAACAGGCAACAAGGCTAGGAAAGCAGAGTAATAATTCAAGGCTAGGATAACAGAGTAATAACTCAAGGTCCTGGGCACTTTCACAAATTGAGGACATCTTGGTTGCTGCTCTCACACAATAAAACAAATGATTAATCGAAATATCAAGATTTGATTTTTTACTTATGACCCCAGAAACTTTAAACTCTCGCAACCTGAGACTTCTGACAGCAATTACATCGTTTTATAATTATCTATGTGTCTGGTTTATTCACATTCAATAAACGCTGGATGAAAGAATGAATTTCTGTCCATGGCTTTTCGGAGAACACATGCTATTACCTCTTCCTATTTCCCAGGTAATTTTTGTCCCCCTCTACCCACAAGAAAGGATTCCAAGGAGAAAAAAACATGCCCCCACTGTCTAAAGCAGCTTATCCAGACCCCTTGGCTAAAATCTATGTTCCATTCACTTAAAATGCTTCGCTCTGCGGACACCTATCATGATACAAGTAAAACCTCAAGAATGACACTCCCTCAAATGCTTGTTCTTCAGTTCCTCAACGCAGGAACTGAGCAAGGCGAGACGGAGGGACGCGCCCAAGGTCACCTCGGCGAACAGAGGGGATTATAACTGGCCCCGCATAAGGTCGATTATGCCCTGCGTTGGGAGGAGGTTCCGAGGTTCTATCAAACTCAAGTCTGGACCTCTCTACCATCCACCACAGGATCACACGGGTGCTGGGTTGGGAGAGCGAGGCTCACGAGGCCGGGAAGGTAGTGGGTACAGGGCTAAGCCGACTGGCCGTGAAAGACTGCATTGCCCACAGTTACCAGGCCCAAGTCGACAAGGCTGCGGTTGAGTCTGGCTTGCACCTTGGGAGCATGGACAGGGGAGAAGGAGGGCAGTGGGCAGGCGGGCAAGAGAAATGCAAAGACAGCGGTGAGGCTCACCAAGGCTCTCGCGCGTACTCCTCCATGTTGACTCCAACGCCGCGAGTGATGCCGGGCAAGCTGGGCGGAGCCTGACCCCAGAGGCGGAAGTGACCCCGAGAGGAGGGCGTTAAGGCCTATGAGGATTGGTTCACCGTTTCCCGCTGCAGCCAATGGGACCCAGGACTCCTGTGGACTGCGTGTGGTTGGGGCATTGGCCGCGACGGGGCAAGACTGGCACAGTCCATGTCCTCGAAGGCCGCGGGTCCCGGCTGTGTGGGCGGGGAGCTACCAATGACGGAGTTACACTACCCGGTCACCAGAGGTTCCGTGGCCTGACATCAACGCGATACTTCCTAAATACGCTTCTTTCCTTCCCTTCCCTTCCCTTCCGCCTTCCCTTCCGCCTTCCCTTCCCTTCCCTTTCCTTTTCTTCTCTCCTTCGCGCCTTGCCTCCCTCCCTGCCTCCCTCCCTCCCTTCCTTCTTTCCTTTCTTCCTTTTTCTTTTTCCTTTTCTTTTTCTTTTTCTTTTTCTTTTTGAGACGGAGTCTGGCTCTATCGCCCAGGCTGGAGTGCAGCGGCGCGATATCCGCTCACTGCAACCTCCGCCTCCCGGGTTCAAGCGATTCTCCTGCCTCAACCTCCTGAGTAGCTGGGATTACAGGCGCGCGCCCCCAGGTCCCGCTAAATTTTGTATATTTTTAGTAGAAACGGGGTTTCGCCATGTTGATCAGGCTGGATCGAACTGCTGACCTCGTGATCCGCCCACCTCGGCCTCCCAGAGTGCTAGGATTACACCACCGCATCCGCCCTCTTTCACCTCTTTTCTTTTCTTTCTCTCTCTTCTTTTTCTTTCTTTCTTTTTTGGTACTTTTGCTGTCAAATGTGGATTAGTGCTATCTTATTCGTCACATATTGTGAAGCTGTTATTAAATACACGTAGCTCCTTTAGGGCAAACAATGTCTCAGTGATTTATAATAACCACAGTGCCTGGAATGTAGTAGATGCTCAATAAATGTTTGTGAAATGAAACAAGCTGTTTGGGCCATCTGAAGAAAGCCATGACCAATTTGGAGCCCTCGATTTCAGGGACATTGACCTCTCACAGGCCTCTCCACTAATGATCACCGGAAGGTGTGAAGATGTTTGGCTCGGAGAAGAGGGGACTTATGGGGACCAGGCCAGGCATAGTGGCACGCACTTGTAGCCCTAGCTATTCAGGAAACCGAGGCGGGAAGATGGCTTGAGCCTAGGAGGTCTAGCCCGTAGGGAGCTGTGATCATGCCACTGCACTCTAGTGACAGAGTGAGACACTATCAAAAAAAAAGCTTTTAGTTTACTGTCAACAAAATCCCAATCATGTGATGGCTGTTAAAGTGCTCCTCTCCATTCTGTACGTTTGTAATTGATTTTAAAATATGTGTATATTTATTTTACAGAAAAGTCAATGTCATAAATAATGGAAGAGGCTGGGCGCAGTGGCACATGCCTGTAATCCCAGCACTTTGGGAGGCCGAGGCGGGCAGATCACGAGGTCAGGAGTTTGAGACCAGCCTGACTACCATGTTGAAACAAAGTTTCTACTAAAAATACAAAATTTAGCCCTGCGTGGTGCCTGTAATCCCAGCTACTCAGGAGGCGGGAGAATTGCTTGAACCTGGGAGGTGGAGGTTGCAGTGAGCCGAGATTGTGCCTGAGCGACAGAGTGAGACTCCATCTCAAATAAATAAATGAATAAATAAAGGAAGACTGCAAAGAGGAGTGAGGGTCCCTCCAAAAGCTTGGAAATAAAGTAAGCAGATGAATCGAACCTTCCATGGAACTAAAGATTATCAATAAATGTGTCTTGCATGTGAGAATGGTTCATACTAGTCATCTGATTTGGGTGTGTAAGTTGGAGAAGACGTGCTCGGAATGTGACTGTAATTAAGAATGGTTAACTCTTTAATTGTACAGGCTGAAGAGAGAATATGGGAGAGGGGACATGGAGGAATTCAGAGGGCAAGAATCTGATGTATAGTCAGCACTGAAGACCTGGTGGGTATAAATATTTTAGTAACTAGAGGTTTGTACTCTCATGGGGCAAGGATATTTTTTCTGGTCTCATCAGGACACAGATAAAATATCCCTTAGCTCTAGCTACCTCCCTTTGTTCTTATTCCGTATTTATTATGCAATCTTCTTTTTATTTGGCTTCTGAATAGATTTCGATATAGGAGAGAATTCCCTGGCCTGTGTTTATAACTATTCTTCTCCACTTGGTAGTTAATACTGGCTTATGTATCTGCCTCTTATGAGGTCAGTTATTTTGACTAAATCACCAGGAATAGTCAGGGTTCTCCAGAGAAACAGAACCAAGAGGATATATATACACACACATATATATATCCTATTGTGTGCAAATATATATATATACTTCTGGTTCTGTTTCTTTGTCTCTCTCTCTATATATATATGTATGTGTGTATATATATGCCAATATATATAATTATTTATTTATTTATTTATTTTTGAGTTGGAGTCTCACTCTGTTGCCCAGGCTGGAGTGCAGTGACGCGATTTTGGCTCACTGCAACCTCCGCCTCCCAGGTTCAAGTGATTCTTCTGCTTCAGCCTTCTGAGTAGCTGGGACTACAGGTGCACACCACCACGCCTGGCTAATTTTTGTATTTTTAGTAGAGACGGTTTCACCATATTGGCCAGGCTGGTCTCGAACTCCTGACCTCATGATCCGCCTGCCTCGGCCTCCCAAAGTGCTGGGATTATAGGCGTGAGCCACTGCACCCAGCCTACTTATTTATTTATTATGAGTAGTTAGCTCACATGATTATGGAGGTTGAGAAGTCGAATAATCTGTGTCTGCAAGGTGGAGATGGAGGAAAGTCAGTGATGCAGTTCGGTCCAAGTCCAAAGGCCTGAGAACCAGGGGAGCTGATGATGTAAATCTCAGTTTGAGGGCAGGAGAAGGTGAAATGAGATATCCCAGCTCAAGAGTGAGGCAGGAAAAGGGGCAAATTCTTTCCTCTGCCTTTTCAATGCCCAACCACACTGAGGAGGTCAATCTACATTGCTGAGTCTACCAATTCAAATGCTATTCTCGTCTGGAAACATCCTCATGGACACACCCAGAACAACATTTAATCTGGGCACCTATGGCCCACTCAAGTTAACACATCAAATTAACTATCACAGTGATAATGAGTTTCCGAGTTTGCAAAGCTGAAGTCCAGTTTCCAGATTGTAGTTCTCCAGCTCATTTAATTCCAACAGTCCCTATCCTAAAGGCGTTTACTGCTCTGGGAAGCCCTGCTCCAGTGGCCAAAGAAACTTTGAGCAAAGAGACTTCTCACTCTGCTGTCTTCTAATTGCAACAGATAACAACATTTTTGGCTAGGCAAGGCCCAGGAGGAAGATGTCACATCTCAAAAATAATCACTTCCATTTGGTTCCAGGGTGCTAAGTGAAGAAACCTTTTGAAAAGGGTTCAAAAGAAACCTTTGAAAGGATTAGAAGGATTGCTACTCTAATCTCCCCCTAGTGAGTCTTAAATAATTCTGAGGGACTGTGGTGGCCCTCACTGATGGAATGGTCAATGATACAAAGGCATAATAGAAGAAAGCAGTGGAAGTCCTTGACAGAAAACTCACCATAAAGGTGAGGGGAGTTTGAACTTCTGATTCAACATACCAGTGTATATTCTATTGAAAGTTACTGTTCTGGGCTCAAGATAGGACTGCTGCTAGAGCCCCATGTGGTCCAGGTACTCAGTAGATTGAGCTCCCTTGAGCCAGAGGCTGCCGTGGTCTAAGGAACTCCATCCACCAAGTCGTAGGTCATGTACATGGCACCAAACCCACAGTCCCACCTGGTCCATGTCATGGAGAAATTCAGATTGGCATGGATAAGTAAGCCTCCTGTTGGGTTTGGGGTTTTAGTTTGTGACCAGGGCTGATTTGGTAGACAGAGGGGTTTTAGCCTAAGTAACATTGGTGAAGGTGAAGGAGGCAATCTCTTGTTTCTTTGCTGCCCCCTTTTTCCTCCCACTGCTTTCCTCTCAGGAAGACATTAGTCTGGCCTGTGTTCTGTCTCGAGCTCTCCTCTGCCCGTTTCTGCTCGTCTCAAGAGTGTTGGGCCAGACCAGTGGCTTGCTCCCAGAGGCAAAGTCTGCTGCCTTCTAGGGAAACTGTCAGCATCCCCCAAAAGGAAAGAACCAGTGTGAAAACTTCTGTCTTTCGTGATCTCTTTCAGGACCCTGCCATAGTCATTCTATGTCAGCATATCTATTGATCTTTGTGTGTATATACACATACATATAGCTATATAATTTATATAGCAAGCATTAGTGAGTGCTTAAAATATGTCTGATGCTGTTAAGTACTTTGTGTGCATTATCTTATTTAATATGTTTAATAATTCCATAACTCTGTGAATTAGGGTTTTTTTAATTTTTAGATTATTTTATTCTTGTTATTATTATTTTTTTGAGACAGTCTTGCTGTGTCACAGGCTGGAATGCAGTGGCATGATCTTGGTTCACTGCAACCTTTGCCTCCCAGGTTCAGGTGATTCTTGTGCCTCAGCCTCCCAAGTAGCTGGAATTACAGGTGTGTGCCACCAAGCCCAGCTAATTTTTGTTTTTTTGGTTTTTTTGAGATGGAGTCACGCTCTGTCGCCCAGGCTGGAGTGCAGTGGCCAGATCTCAGCTCACTGTAAGCTCCGCCTCCCAGGTTTACACCATTCTCCTGCCTCAGCCTCCTGAGTAGCTGGGACTACAGGTGCCCGCCACCACGCCCGGCTAGTTTTTTGTATTTTTTTTAGTAGAGACGGGGTTTCACCATGTTAGCCAGGATGGTCTTGATCTCCTGACCTCGTGATCCGCCCGTCTCAGCTTCCCAAAGTGCTGGGATTACAGGCTTGAGCCACCGCGCCCGGCCTAATTTTTGTATCTTTACAAAAGAGACGGGGTTTTGCCATATTGGCCAGGCTGGTTTCAAATTCCTGGCCTCAAGTGATCAGCCCACCTCGGCCTCCCAAAGTATTGGGATTACAGACGTGAGCCACTGTGCCTGGACAAGGTTTTTTTTTTTTTTTTAAGGGATGGGGTCTCTCTCTGTTGCCTGGGCTCGTCTTGAACTCCTGGCCTCAAACATTCCTCCTATCTCCTCAGCCTCCCAAAATGTGGGGATCACAAGCATAAGCCATCATGCCCCATCCAGGTTTTTTTGTTTTTGTTTTTGTTTTTGTTTAAGAGATGAGTCTCACTATTTTCCCTAGGCTGGACTCAAACTCCTGGGCTTAAGCAATCCTTCCGCCTCAGCACCCCTAGTTGAGACTACAGGCACACACCACTACACCCAGCTTGTAGATGCTCTTAATTTCCTCATTTTCCATTGCCTAAGGCTCAGAGAGGTTAAATAACTTACTTAAGGTCACACATCTCAGATCTGAGCCCCTGTCATTTGACCCAAGAGCCTGTAGTCTTATCTGCTATACTATACTGCCACCCTATATTCCTGAAAATGTGACTTTCCTGGGGTCATTCAGCCCAACTGAGAGCCACCTAAGCATTGATTAAATTGGTTCTGGATCCTCATTCTTCCCCCCTACCCTGCACCACGTATTTTGACTGAAGCTTTGAGTCTCTTTTCCTTCTTTTCTCTCCCCATCCCTCTAGCCACAACAGTGCTTGTTTTCCTCTGGGGAATAGACCACGCCAGGGTCCCCTGATATCCGGGATGGATTTGTTTGAGGTGGAATTGGATTCTGAGCTGGAATGACCAGTGCTCCCTACAGATTGGTTCGGGCAGTGGCCTCTCATTGTAGGGGCTGGAGGTGGCTGTACTCCCTGGCCTCTGGGTTCCCAAATCCTCCAGCTCCAGCCGTGATGCCTCTCAAGGGAAGACTTTTGGAGTCTGTGAGCAGTCTCAGGGAGCCCTTGGGGCTCCAGGGAGTAAAAAGCTTCTGACTGAGTCATGTCAGAGGAACCAGCGATTTGGAATTGGGAGGCCTGACACAGAGAAGATACTGGGGTTAATGTGTAGAAACCTTTGGTTAGGAGGCATGAGTCCTGCCCTTTACATTTGAAAGCTATGGATTTATTTTTTTGAGTGTCTTCCTGGACCAGAGACCACTGGGCCCAAAAAAGAAAACCACTGAAACCAGATGGTACAGGGCTAACCCTGGGGCTGAAGGTAATGATTTGCTTTTAGGCCCTGACTCCTCCTCAGGGAGCAGTGAATATTTTTGGCAAAAAGCCTGAGAAAGAGTTCTTGGAAACTAGAAAGAGAATTGCTTTCAGCTGACTGGGAGACTAGAGGTTGGCTGAGGTCCCAGAGCCAGGGACCCCAGAAGATGATGCTTTTTTCTGGGCAACACTGAGGGTGAAGGCCAGCTGACCCAAAGGGGGCACCGGGGGAGGGGGTGGGCATAGGGAGTGCCATGTCCACTCAACGTACCTAACTAAAAGCCCACTCCAGCATGGCTCAAACCCTTTGTTATGCCCTCTGAGATGACCACCCTGACTCCTCCCCGTAAAATCAGTGTGTCTTCCACTGGGTTTTTAACAGTTGTACCTCTCTACAAGACTCCTTGTACCTCTCTACAAGACTCCTTGTACCTCTCTAGCTTGCTTCACTTTGCCTTACAGTGTAGTTTTTTTTTTTTTTCTTTACTCCATTGAATTTTACATGTTTAAGAGAATAACAATGTTGTAATGACAATGTTATAGTGCCTGGCAGGATGCTATATATAAATAGTAGTATCTGAATAAATGTTTGAATGAATGAATGAATGAATGAGAACCAGGTGAGAAAGTGTGTGTGTGTGTGTGTGTGTGTGTGTGTGTGTGTGTTTAGAGGGTGTTTACTGTTGAGAGAAAGAAAAAGATGAGAGAAAAGGTGGGATGGAAAGAAAAGAACCCAGGATAAGAGTAAATAAATAATTATAGTCAGGTGTGGTGGCTCATGCCTGTAATCCCAGCACTTTGGGAGGCCGAGGCCGGCAGATCACCTGAGGTTGGGAGTTCGATACCAGCCTGACTAACATGGTGAAACCCCATCTCTACTAAAAATACAAAAATTAGCTGGGTGTGGTGGCGCATGCCTGTAATCCTAGCTACTTGAGAGGCTGAGCCAGGAGAATTGTTTGAACCTGGGAGGCAGAGATTGCAGTGAGCCAAGATCGCGCCATTGTACTCCATCCTGGGCAATAACAGTGAAACTCCATTTCAAAATAAATAAATAAATAATTATAATAATTACTAGTAAATATGGTGTTTACGATGTACTAGGTATATCAATGAATGTTTTCATGTGTAGGACCTAATTTAATATTCACAACAATTATACAAGGTTGGTATAACAGTTGTCCTTATTTTACAGATGATGAACTCAAGTCTCAGAAAAGAAGGTAGCTTGCCCAAGTCACATGGCCTGTAAGTAGCAATATGAGGACCAAATGCTGGTCTATTGGCTTCAAAGGCCCGAGCTCTTCACTGTTAAATTATACTTCTATCCAGTCTCCTCTTGTTGTGTTTTCCCATAGCCCCTGTGCTTGCCTCCCACCCTCCCACCCTCCCTCCTTCCCACCCTCCCTCCTTCCCTCTCTCCTTCCTTCCTTCTTTCCTTTCTTTCCTTTCTTTCTTTCTTTCTTTCCTTCTGTCTTTCTTTCCTTCTTTCTTTCCTTCCTTCTTTCTTTCCTTCCTTCTTTCTTTCCTTCCTTCTTTCTTTCCTTCCTTCTTTCTTTCCTTCTTTCCTTCTTTCCTTCTTTCTTTCTTTCCTTCTTTCCTTCTTTCTTTCTTCCTTTCTTCCTTTCTTCCTTTCTTTTCTTCCTTTTCTTTCTTTTCTTTCTTTTCTTCCTTTTCTTTCTTTTCTTTCTTTTCTTTCTTGTTTTTGCTCTGTTGTCCAGGCTGGGGTACAGTAGCATGATCACAGCTCACTGCAGCCTCAACCTTCTGGCCTCAGGCAATCCTCCCACCTCAGCCCCCTGAGTAGCTGGGACAACAGATGCTCACCACCACATCAGGCTAATTTTTTTTTTTTTTTGAGAGATGGGGGTCTCATTACGTTGCCCAGCCTGTTCTTGAACTCCTGGACTCAAGCAATCCTTCTACCTTGGCCTCCCAATGTGCTGGGATTACAGGCATGAGCCACTGCACCTGGCCTTATTTTGTATCTTTAGTTATATCTCTTGCTCTTAGAGCAATGCCTGAATAATAGGTACTCAATAAATCACTCAATAAATATATACTTATGGACTGACCAATAAACTGGCTATTGACTCTTAAAGTGACAACCCCCAGGTTTCCCTAAAGTCTTCTTCCACTTTTCCCATCAAGTCTGCCTGCCTTCCCTCTGTCCTTCAGTCCCTGCAGTGGGCACCATTCCCTTCTTCAGCCTTAACCTAAAGTTGGACTAGTGGACATTAAATGGCACAGCCAAGTTTTAGTCCCAGACGATCCCTGGCCTCAGCAAATGCTGATCAAGTGACTGTCTCTCTCTGGCTTAGGATGGAAAGACGCCAGGAAAGATCGAAGCATCTACCCTGATGGGTTACACCAGAGCTTCTAGAAGGGATTTTGTGGCAGGAGGGAGGGGGGCAGGGGATTGAATGTCTCTGTGACTTGTGCAGGGCAGCGTGATGGATGAGCAGTGGAAAGCCCTTCTATGAAACATGCCAGACCTGTTGCAATCGTATCTCTCCCGATGGCCCAGAATTCTGCTTCCCTGAAGACATACTAAATTGTGCTCTGGATTTATATGTGGGTGGTGACCTGCCTCTGTGCTCCCAAAGGAGGTCTGTCTGCAGATGCCCAGCAGAGGAAGAAACAGATGACAACAGGGAGAGGTTTGAACCCTCTTCTCAAGAGCCTTGGAACTTCATGGAAAGTGACAGCCCTTTAAGAGTTTCCCAACTTCTGCAGATCCTCCTCTCTTTCCCAAACAACCTGCCAGTTTTCAGTTTTGGTACACAGTGAGGATTTATTCTCTCTCTCTCTCTCTCTCTCTCTCTCTCTCTCTCTCTCCCTCCTGCCTAGCTATCTCTATCTCTAACTTTGTCTTTCTGTCTCTCTCTTAAGAAGTGGCCAAAGGAGCCTGGAGCCTCTGATGCTCAGCCTTCAGGTCCTCCTTGGCAGAACCTGGGTAGAAAGAAAATGGGTAGGCAGGGGGTTAGGAGTAACAGCTCCTCATCTTGAATCTAGCCTTTCCTGGAGCTGTATACACCTGGGAGTCCCCCAGCACATTACCAAATACTGTAGAAGGAAGTCCATGAAGCACACATTGACCACAGCGATATGTCCACATGGTGATGGAGTAGTAAAATACGCTCTTGAACGTGCCTGGGTCCAGCAGTTCACCGGCCCTCATGGCCTCATCCCTGCTTGTCTGGCTCTCCATGGCTGTGATCTGCTTCTGCCAGCCTACGCATTTTTGTATCTTTTTCTCATTGCATGGCCCCTTGTCTTTAAAAGGCTAAACTGCTCTGTACTAAATTTGGTCACGCAGCTCTCCAAGATTCCCTGGAATGTCCTCAAGTTTCAAACAGCTCTGACAGCGAGGTAGGACCGCCCCCAGCTTAGGGATTGGCTTCTCCTCTCTGGGCCCGGCAGTTGTTGGGTCTTATTGGCCGCTGATTAGTCCAGCCGGGGTCCACTAGCCCTGGGCTGCAGGGAGGCTGCTGCTTCCAGTGAATACTTTAGCACCTGTAGCACAGAAGGGCCAAGGAGCTGCCGTCCTCAACCAGCGGGGGTTTGCTCCTCAGCCCACTCCCTGCATCCAGATCAGCTCATCCCCTCCCTTCCCTGCCCACCAGGACTCTGATAGCCCCTGGCAGCCACAGCCCATTTTGCCAAGATGTCTAGGGTAGCCAAATATCGCCGGCAGGTGAGTGAAGACCCCGACATCGACAGCCTGCTGGAGACCCTGTCTCCCGAGGAGATGGAGGAGTTGGAGAAGGAGCTGGACGTGGTGGACCCTGATGGGAGTGTTCCCGTGGGGCTGCGGCAGAGAAACCAGACAGAGAAACAGTCCACGGGTGTGTACAACCGGGAGGCCATGCTCAACTTCTGTGAAAAGGAGACCAAGAAACTTATGCAGAGGGAGATGTCCATGGATGTGAGTGAGCACAGCCCTGGAGGGGAGGAGGGAGACAGGGGAGGGCTGGAGACCCTGGCTTCATGATTAGGATGCTTCCTTCCTTAGAAGAAATGTTCTTGTTGGCAAAGGATTTTAATGCTTCAGAACTGATTATTATCCACTGAACTAGCAGTACAAATCTCTTACTCCTAATTTCTGTTTCATAAGCAGAAGTTGGATATGTTGGAGGAACACAACATCCCACAAAATCAAATAGAGCTACTAGTAGAATGGGAGCTGGAAGGTGTCCTTGAAGAGTCCATTGTCAAGTTGACTCCATCCTGGTCCCACAATACCTTTGTTTTTCTCCACTCATTCCATCCTATTGTGAGGAGGCGTAAAAAGATAGAGTGATACTTTATGTCTCCTGTCAGCCACCCAAAAAGACAAAGCTAAGCCTTTTTTTTGTGGGAGAAAAACTCATTTTCAAGTCCCCACCCCTATGGGCATCTCACGGCACATGGATCATTTCAGGAGGCTTGGGAGTAAATGAGTTTCCCAAAGCAAAGGGAGACAGGGACCAGGAAGGAGTCTGTGCCTGGGAAATGTGGCTTAAAGACCCGATAGCTTCAAATTTATTCCCAGGGAAGATGTTTTTTGTTGTGGTTAGTTGGTTTTTGGTTTTGTTTTGTTTTTGCACTCTCCAGAGAAGCCTCTGGAGGGAGCATGCTCTCTTTTTGGTAATTAACTCTTTTACCAGCTAAAGAGGCCACTTTGCTGGGGGATGAAGATATTCATAGAGGAAGGAAAAGGGGTGATGGTTTTGGAAGCATCTGCTCACACCTACGATGGGCTTAAGCACAACTTGCTTTCTGTTTTCCTGAGTTGGCTGGAGGAATTTTTTTTTTTTTTGGTCACTTTTGCATTTATATGTGAGTTTTCCTTGGACAAACTACCCTCCAATGGAGTATGACTTTGTGGGATCCCTTTGTCCATGGGAAAGAGTGTTGCATAGGAAAATTGTTCAAGTCTTTGTTCTAATTCTCTTACTCAGCCACATCTCTTGTACATTATCCGTTACATGTGAATTCTTGCAAGAAAAAGATCAGTCTCAATTCTTGCTTTTTGTTTTACTTCTATGGAAACTGAGGCACAGAGCTTCAAATGACACGCACATTCTCACAGAGGAACTGAGAATGGGAACGTTATCATCTAAAATGCGTGTGGCATGTGTGGCTGGGTATGAAATTGTGTTGACTGCTAGTCACAGAGCATATTGGTGGACACAGCCCTGACTCCTTTAGTGTAGCAATGGGAAAGAAGGGAGGAGGAGGGAAGGGGGTGAGGCAAAGAGGAGCTGGAACTCTGTCTCTGTCCCTGCCGCCCCTCCTCCACCACCTGTGTTTAAGCCTTGGCCAAGAAGAGGGAGAAGGAGGGAGGAGGGAGAGAAGCCAGGAGGCTCAGGAATTTATTGTCCTGTATACACAGTGGTTGCCCCGGGTGCAGCTATGATAATGATGAATAAAACCAAAACATTTACAGAAAAAGTGGTAGCACTTACTGTGAGGGCCCCATACCTCAACACAGCTATGAGGAATCATACAGAAAGAAATGAAATGCAGCCAGAGGCTTTGGCACCCCTGGAAATCATTGGCTCTGCTCTTCCCTACTCCCAGTCACAGGCTCTGGGCCCATGACTACCATGTATCCATAGCTTCCGGTGCTCAGAAAGGTACTCCCGAGGCTGAAGTCAAACAAAGCAGTCTAATCACAAGCAGGAGTGTGAAGGATTCTCATGTTCCTGGAAATTTCACGATCATAGACTTTTTCTTCAGTCAGTTAATACCATGACAAGCGTCTCCTCCCCTGCCTCACCTCCCTCACCCCTGCCAGGCCCACACTTGGCTCTGCGGACAGAGCCTGAGTCAAGGAATAGAAGTGTGTGTTTGTGTGCACATCCTTGATGTAAGGAGATGCCTTTAGGTCCGGTTTTCCCTTGTGGGTGTAGGCTGTTCTGATCCCCTCACTCTTTCTCACCCTGTCCAAGGATGTACATTGGCATAATGGCTGGCTGGAGTTTAGGGTGCATGCTGAGCCTGGGCAGAAGTCATCTCTATAAATCTGGGTGAGAATGAACCCTAGAAGGTGGCTTCTTTAGCACCATTAGCAAAATAGTGAGTGTGTGGCCAAGAGCTTGGATTTAAGTATTAGAAAAACCTGGTTTGAGTAACAGTGTCTCTGTGTAAGTCACAAGTTACCTAATTTAAGTCTCAGTTTCATCACCTACAAAGTACGGACAGTAGTACCCATCTCACAGGGTTGTGAATACCAAAAGGGGTACTGCGGTAGAGCACTTAGCACAGAGCTTGGCGTGTCATACACACTCAATAAAGGCCAGCTACGAAATTATTATTTCATTTGAGTCAAGGAACCCAGAAACTGGTGAAGTGGGCCAAAAGCAAATCTCTACACCTGCCCAGCTCCTCTCTTCCCTCAGTCTCCTGAGGACTGCGCAAGCCTCACCTGTCAGTTTAATGAGTGACCCAAGTAAACAAGCAACCCCTGGGTGCTCAGAGTGGGGACCACCAACACTACAGACACAGCACAGAGCTGGGGGCAGGTGGACTCCAGGCTGATGGCCTGGCTGCAGCCCTCACTGATGGTGGCCTTCACTCCATGTGAAGAACTGAAAGGTGGTTGAAACAGAGTAAAGCAAGATGAGCATTCACTAAGAACCTTCTACATGCCGAGCATGTTCACCTTTTCTTTAAACCTCACAGTTCTTGGGAGATGGGTATTTTTATTCCTATTTTTTCTTAGAGAGGTTGAATAACCTTCCCAAAGTCACACAGCTAATTAGTTGAGATCGGTGCTTCTTCCTCTCTGCCATACTAAGGTGCAAAAAAGACAGTAATGTCAGTCCCTGCCCTGAAAAAAATGTAATCTACTTAGATTCTGTTCGAAACACACACGTATAGAACCATCAGTGTTACAGAGTGGAGACCACAAATTCTTATATTGGCTGAAATAATAGTCTTCTGTCAATGTTCACCTCCCCACCCCCACGAGTAGGAACATAATTATTAAAACTAAGTGTGGATTAGGGAAAGTAAATCCTGACTAGATACTGGATGCTGTTAAGGAATTTCTGTTAATTTCTGTTAATTTCTTTTAAGTGTGATAATGGTGTTGCAGATATACTTTGTAAAGGATTCTTCTCTTTTAGACATAAATACATAAATATTTATGGGAAAAATTTATTGGCTTTGGGAATTAGCCTTAAAATAATCTGGATGGGGGTATAGATAGAACAAGATTGGCCACCAGTTGACAATTGTTGAAGCCGGGTGATGGGTCTACATGGGTGTTCATTATATTATTCTTTCTACTTTTGTATGTATGTTCGAAAATTTTCATAATAAAATTAAAAGAAAGAAAGAAAGAAAGAAAGAAAGAAAGAAAGAAAGAAAGAAAGAAAGAAAGAAAGAAAGAAAGAAACCAACCAATAGTGGGAGGTCGGCCTTAAGACAGTCTTAAGGTCTGTCTTTTCCCTAGAAGGGGAGCCCCAAGATGCATACTCTGGCTATTGCACAAAGTGAGTCTAGGCTGCGGGAGGGCCCTTGGCCTGCTTCTCCTTCCAGGGGCTCCCTCCATGGGATGGGATACTCCAGAGATCCCTGATCCTCCTGATTGTTTAACTATCTTTTTCATGAATATTCCACCCATGCCTCTTCCAGGTCAACTCCTATTTGTCCTGCCTATCTCAGGCACCACTTCCTTCAGGTAGTCTTCCAGTCAGGCACCTGGTCTGAGCATTCCAATACCAGTCTGTACCAAAGCCCTTGGGACATCACTTTTGTATCTTGTGTGACTTGGAGGGCAAAATGCAAATTCAGGGCCCAGCACACAGCAAGCCTTCAGCCTCTGTTTTGAGTGAATGTTAGCAGGGGATTGGGGAGGGTAGAGGTGGGACTTGGAAGAATTGACCCTAGCTTCTCTCCCTCCCTTTAAAGGGCCAGACCTGTCAGCCAGTGTAGCTCCACCTGATCATCCGGGAACTCTCCTTCAGCCCAGGTAGAAGACAAAGCCCCTGGGCAAGCGTATAGCCTGCGGTTCAGTGAACCTCTTGTCCTTGCCTCAGGTTTCAGGAACCGGATCCCAACCGGTCAACTTGTGTGTCCTCTTTCCTTCCCAAGTGGGAAAGAAAATCTCCAGCCTGCCTCCCCCTCCCTTCTCCCTGGTGTTACCAGGGGCTGGGGATTAGCACCTGTACCCAGCCAGGGGCAGGGGCAGCTGAGCTGGCAGGGGTGGAGGAAAGCTCTCCCTAGAGGTAAACTTGAGAAGCAAACCTGAAGCACCCCACTAATAGCGGCTGCTGGGCCTGACCTTCCCCTCCCACTGCCTGCACAGCCTCTGCAGCCCTCTCCCCCGTCGGTTCTAGTTCACAGTTCAATGTCCAGGATATCTCTCTACAGGGCTGGGAAGGCCGAGGCCGGTGGCCTAAACCTCAGAATGCCCTTTGCAGAGGGCTGGGACTTATCAGGAGTGCACTGAGCAGCACGGCTCAACGCTTAAGGAGATTAACCCCAACTGGTACACACCCAAAATAGCCCTGGAGGCTAGGGTGGAGAGGGCAGAAGAGGTGATGGGGGCCTGTTGACCCAGGGAGGGAAAAGCAGGCACCGGAGAGGGCTAGACTCTGTTAAAATCTCTCCCTGAAATTTGAAACTGCCTCCATCCAGAGTTTGGAAAAGCAACTGATTGTTTCTTAAACTAGGTGGTACAATCCACAGGTGTTTGTTTTAAATATTGTTCTTACTCATACGTTTTCTTCTGTATGTGTATAATATTTAAAGAATTTTGAGGGCAGGTGTGGTAGCTAATGCCTGTAATCTCAGCACTTTGAGAGGCTGAGACAGGAGGATCACTTGAGCTTTGGAGCTCGAGACCAGCCTGGGCAACATAGCAAGACCCCATCTCTAAAAAGTTAAAAATTAAATTAAAAAAAAAAAATTTTACCAGCCTAGCCAACATGGTGA